TGGGGCCGGGGCGGCGGAGGGGCCCGGGGCAAAGCCAAGCCCCCGCCGCCTGCCCGGGGGGCTGCTGGGGGGCCATGGGGGTGGCGGGCGCCGAGCTGCCCGGCGGCAACGTCAGCGCCAACCAGAGCGCCGCCGACCCCACGCTGTCGCGGGACGTGTGGATGGTGGGCATGGGGATCCTGATGTCGGTGATCGTGCTGGCCATCGTCTTCGGCAACGTGCTGGTGATCACTGCCATCGCCCGGTTCCAGCGCCTGCAGACTGTCACCAACTACTTCATCACCTCGCTGGCCTGCGCTGACCTGGTGATGGGGCTGGCCGTGGTGCCCTTCGGCGCCAGCCACATCATCATGGAGATGTGGAAGTTTGGAAACTTCTGGTGTGAGTTCTGGACCTCCCTGGACGTACTCTGCGTCACGGCCAGCATTGAGACCCTCTGCGTCATTGCCGTGGACCGGTACTTCGCCATCACCTCCCCTTTCAAGTACCAGAGCCTGCTGACCAAGAGCAAGGCACGCGTGGTCATCCTCGTGGTGTGGGTGGTCTCTGCCCTCACCTCCTTCTTGCCCATCCAAATGCACTGGTACCGGGCAGACCGTGACGAGGCCATCCTGTGCTATGAGAAGGACACATGTTGCGACTTCTTCACCAACCAAGCCTATGCCATTGCCTCCTCCATCATCTCCTTCTACCTGCCACTCGTGGTCATGGTATTCGTGTATGCCAGGGTCTTCCAGGTGGCCAAGAAGCAGTTGCAGAAGATAGACAGGAGCGAGGGGAGGTTTCACACCCAGAACAAGGAGCAGGAGCAGAAAGGGGGAGCTGGGCACCGCCGTTCCTCCAAGTTCTTCTTGAAGGAACACAAGGCCCTCAAGACCCTGGGCATCATCATGGGCACCTTCACGCTGTGCTGGCTGCCCTTCTTCATCGTCAACATCGTGCACGTCATCCAGGACGACATCATACCCAAGTACGTGTACATCCTCTTGAACTGGCTGGGCTATGTCAACTCTGCCTTCAACCCTTTGATCTACTGCCGGAGCCCGGACTTCAGGTATGCCTTCCAGGAGCTCCTGTGCCTCCGCAGGTCCGCCCTGAAGATGTATGCCAACGGCTACTCAAACAGCAACGGCAAGAGCGACTACAACGAGGAGGACAACGGCTACCCCCTGGCATCGGATAAAACCTGCGAGCTGCTCTGCGAGGAGGGCTCCTTCCCGCACCCCGAGGACTTTTTGCACTGCAAAGGTACTGTGCCTAGCGGGTAGCTTCGAGACGCGATGGGCTCTGGCGTGGCACACATCGGTTATAAAGAGGAGCCTTTCTCTATAAGGAAAAACAAAACCCCCGGTAATAATAATAATGATCCTCTTCTAGAGCGCACCTAAAATCTAATGGCTGCAAGAAACCAAAACCTCAGCAAACCTTCTGCAAACAGGTGGGGGTTTGCCCCGGGCAGGGTCGGGCGGGCTGCTTGCAGTCTACCTGTTTAGGGGCACGACCGTGGGTCCCTTGAGCGGGGGGGTTGAATTTAAGGCTGTGCAGAAACCTCGTCCCCGGAGGAGCTTCCTGGCCGCGGCCGGTGTTGAACTACCGCATG